ATGTGGATATGGAATTAAACCTGCTACAGCGCCCAAAATCGTAAATGGTTCAATTTCCAGATGTGTAGTTTGATAATCAATTTCACGTTCATATATAGCAATATTTGAGTCATTTTCTTCATTTACATCTAAATATTCGACAAGTCCTTGTGCCAAAAAATCTGCAAATTTCATCTTGTCTTGTTTTAATTTCTGATAAATAAAAAAAATTTATAGATTATTTTTTTTTAAAAAAAAACAACGAAGATAATAAATTCTAATAACAATAAAAGGCTTTATTTAGCTTACTTTAATATGCTCTGAAGTCACTTTTGGCGTACTATTCTCCACTATAATCAAGGGACGACATACACGACCACCATCTGAAGCAATATGAACTGCTGCATGATGATGATTTACATAAATGCTAACAAACTCTGAAATCCTACCACAACGGCGTAAGATTCGAAAATCTTTGACAAAATCAATAGGTTGACGCGTAATACCGAGCATGAGACCATTCAAAAATACCATATAAACATTTGGTTGATAGAGTTCAGAACCTGTGAGACCGTTCACATCTAATAATTTAAGAAAGAAATATTGTAATTTATTCTTGCTTGCTATTTACATTTTACAGCGATTTAAAAAAAGCATTAAAATGGAACCTTCGACGCCAAGATTAAACGCAAGTCTCTTTAAAGGCTCCTCTTCATCGTCAGTTGTGATATGCGTCATTAAAGCAAGATTTTTTACTAACCCGCAAGCTTCACCTTCGGGGGTATCAGCAGGACAAAGCATGCCCCATTGTGACGGCTAAAGCCCAAAAATAATATTGTTCCAAGTTATTTCTGATATAAAAAACAAGAAAATCATTTTCAAAGTCTCTGCGATCAAACATAACAAGATTGTCGAATCCATTAAATGCACTATTAAAAAAATAAAAATAAAAAGTGCACAAAGGACACGAAATTCGACAATACATCTTTTCAAAACTAACCTGAAGAGCACGAGGGCCACTTATTTTTCGCGTTTTTTCATACTGTGATGTAATTCTAGTCATTGTTCCTAATGCTGAAATATAGCTTAACCTACTAAGAACATGTGTAATGCCAGCCCTCTCCATTTTAAATCGTTTTAATGTCCAATTTCCAGTAGCAATTGCACGAACGAATCCGTTCGTTATGCAGTCGCCATGTTGCATCAATTGTTTATGTGCATCAAATTCAGATGCTCTATTAGGTTTCTTCAATAATTTATCGATATTTAGCTTTAAATCAAAATTGAACTTTTTAAATAAATCCTCAAATAAAAGCGATAGTAAAGAACCCGCACTATAAAACATGATATTAATATTTATGTATGTATAATTTATAACAAGAGCTATTTTTAGCCAATTATAAGCAAGCTTACAGTTCTAATCGCTTATTTCCAACATAATCACGATCATCTACCAAGTTCTCATTTGCTAAAGCCATTAAGACGCGTCGAATCATGATAGCAATGTAAATACATTTTGGCTGAAAATTCAGATCTTTTACAGGAACGTGAGCAAGTACAACAGTTGAAAGGATTTCCAATGCTTCCTCGGCCATAGGTCTTCGTACATTTGCAATTTTCCTCGTTACTTTAACCTTACTTCCTATATAATCTAAAGCTTGCTTCTGTGTAAATATATTCAGGCTCGCGCACATTTCAATATTTGGGGAAAACATGTTCAAAAATGTCTGATTTCCTCCTGAAATTAATTGGGCTATTTCTTTATCAGATTGAATTCCCATAGCCTAAGCATATATAAGTCAATAAAATAAGTAAATCATATATAAAGTTTAAAAAAAACAGAATAAATATACCTTCATTACTATCACAATTGGGATTTCCTCAGAAATTGAATTATGTTTTAATGTGATTTTATCATTTTTTGCATCATTCTTTGCAACTATATAAGTTTTACTTTTTCTTTCGTGGGTTGAGCTTTTGTAAAAATAACGATATCATAAGAACTACAATTACCAAATCTTGAAGAATCAAACAAGAACATACAAATTACAAACAAACCTTGTCACGTAAGCTTGTACAAGACCTTTTCTGTCGCCTTCAACTATAATACGGTTCTTTGAAAGTTGTTCCTGAATAAGTATAACTTTTTCAGTTCCTTTTATGATAAAGTATCCGCCTATATGGAACAAAAATTTTTATCAGAACATTATATAATAATAGTAATAGTAGATGTCCAAATGAATTATGGGAAGATGAATAAAAGCATATAACCTCCACAAATCAAGTAAATTAATTTTAGGAGAGTCAATGCTTACCTGGATCCAATGGACATTCAAACATTTTAGCCAATTCAGCTTCAGATTTTCCAGTTAATACGCACTTTGAACTTCGAAGCATTATAGGCAATTTTCCGATGATTGTATCTTTACGAATAACTCTTGTTTTACCACGCACATATTCCACGTCGACATAAATATTTCCTGAATAAGTTAAATCACGTAATCGACATTCATGAGGCGTGAAGACATTATGTTGTGCTTCGTGATCGGTATCAGGCCGATCTGGTGGACCGATCCTTATATCATGATATCTGCAAAATATGAAGGATTATAGTAATTATAATAATTCTAATTATATAAATAATAATTTAAGCAAGTAATTAGATACATACTTTAGCCAGAAAGCTGGATCAACGTCCGAAGTAATCATATCATTTGCGCGAATGATCTTTTTTAATTCGGTTTCAACAAAGTAATTAAAAGAATCGATATGCTGTTTCACCAGTCCCTTGACTTTTAAAAAGGCAGGTAACAACTCCCATTTATCCTACAAAAATAATTGATTACCACGAGTAAATTTAACTCGCGCAGAAACAAATATGTACGTACCTCAACATTCTTCACAGGATCAGTTAAACCTTTGCCTTTATTAGACCAAAACTGTTTTAGTTTCGTATAAGATGCCTCATAATTTTCGGTGCTAATTTCATCAGCAAAAGTGACAGTCTTTTTGCCCATGATCGTATAGAGTTCAGTAGGC